CACTGTGCACCAGCCTGTGTGAGCTGTTGGCTGCTAAAGAGCTTTTTACTTCACATCACGGATCATTCAAACTGAAAAGAAAGTCTTATTTAACATGTGCATAATATATTTTGGTGCTTTGCTGTTAGAGACAGAAACAGGAAACCAGGCTGAAGTGTTCATAGTAACCCTCAGCTTTCATTGTCTTATTTTTTGTTTGGTTGGTTTTTTTATTATAAAGAGTGCCTGAAGTGAAAATTAAGTTACTCAAAAACTTTAGATCCAGCTAAACGGAAATGTTTGTTTAAATCGTGATTAACATGTAATAGTTTTAATAACCAAAGGTGTGCAGTACCTTTAACACCAGTATGCCATTTATACATTTTTGGTAAAGCACTGCTGGGGTGGGAGGGTGGTGGGGTGGTTTTTTTGGGTGTGGTTTGTTTTGTGTGGGTGGTGGGGTTTTTTTTTTTATTTTTTTTTTTTATTTTTTTTTTTTTTAGTTCTGCCCACCTTAGGCTTTTTTTAACTGACATGCTGGTGTTATTACCAACTCTGTTTCATATACAGCAATGGTTCAGTACCCTTTAGCTTTCCTCTCCCATTGTCCTTAACTAGCGAATACAAACATTGTGGGGTTGTGGTGGTGGTTTTTTTTTGTAAGTATGGGGGATATTACTTGCAAATGCTTGGTGAGACTTGACAATGTCTAGTATGGTGTCTTTAGAGTAATTTGTTATCTTTAGTTCTAAACAGAGCTAAGCTGCTGTGGTTGCAGGTAACTTGATGATGAGCATCATCTGCTTGGTCTTTAAAGGCCCTTTTTTTTTAAAGGACCTGAGTAAGCACTGTTGTTATAAATGCTGGTTGCCAACTGCAGTTTCTTGGCTCATCACCTCACTGTTCAGTGTTTACTTAGACTGATGATTCCTTTTTACAGCCTTATAATGAACTGCATCTATCTGTACTGTATATAATGCCTTAACCACAAATAAGGACACAGGAATATTTTAGATAATTTAGTCCTGTTTGCCACTTGTGTACCTCAGTCCCAAGTTCATGCACGAACATGGCTTAATCCCATGACCTTATCAATCAGAGACCGTCCCTTGGGTGGGAAAGGGCTCGTTTTTGCAAACGTCTGTTGCTGGCACCTCTGCTGCTAACAGACGTGAGGCAAAATTCAAAGCCTGCTGAAATCACTACAGCAGCAAAAGATCCCTGTATAGGTGGAGCCTTTTCTAAAGCAATCTGCATCTTGTGTGTCCTGTGATAGCCCCAGCCCATGCCGACTGCAGAGCTGGCTCTTTGGGGAAAGGCTGCAGACACAGCTGCAAGTGTCTCAAACAATACGCTGCTGTGTAGTCATCAATGAACCGATGCCGCTGTGATGGACTGACAAATTCACAGTGCTTTCCGAAATAGCTTGTACGTTAGTTTGCCAAGTACAGTATATTTAAGAAGTTGAACCAAATTTTGATCTTAACACTGCTGTGTGAAATTTTATTGTGATACCTTTAACTATGTAATTTGAAACAAATACGTATGAGTTTATGGTAAAGCATGTAATTTTTCTCTATCTCAGTTTTCCTGTTTGGAAATACTGATTCCCTTACACCCCTTTTAAATTTAAATAGCTAAAAATCTTGACAGTGTAACAGTGCCCAAGCATCTGTAGTAAAAGCTTTTGATGATGGTTTCTTTGTAGATGGCTATTCCTATGAAAAGGAAGCAATGGAAAACTGGATCACCAATAAAAGACGATCTAGTCCCATGACAAATCTTCCTCTCCCCTCTCTTATGCTTACACCAAACAGGACACTGAAAATGGCTATTAGTCGCTGGCTAGAGACTCAGCAGAAGTATAGTTAAACCACTGAGTTTGAAGTTGTTTTTTAAAATTAATTGAAATGAAATTGTAGCTCAAGGGAATAATTGTATCAGAAACAACTGGAAAGAAGAAATCGTGTTTCTGTTCTAATCAGTGGCTGCCATTTCAATGTTTGTTAGAAAGAAAATCTTCACTGTTGGTAGCTCCCAGAAAATGACTGAAAAACTTAAGTTTTGGTAATTTTACTTTGTGGTATTTCTGCTTAACAAATGAAGTATTCAGCTTCACAGCTTTTCAAATAAAGTTTTCTTAAAATTTTCACTACATTTATGAGTTTTGAGTCTTGATTTCACAAGTTAGTCTGTCAGAAGATAAATAGCAAAAGAAATCCATATTTCTTTTTCTAATTTAAAAGCCAAAAATGTGTCTTTCTCTGTTCCCTATTACTGAACACATAGTTGGAAAAGTTGGGATAAAGTTTCTCCTGTAACCATCAGTGACTGCATCTCATCCCACAGGTATATTAACAATCTTTATTTTGTATGGAAAAAATACAGTAGCTGTGCAAAAATAGAACTACAGGACAAGACTAATATAGGACTTGTACAAAATATCAAAGAAACAATAAATAAGCTAAAGCATAATGATGCAAACAAAGAATTTGTAAAAATGGATACGGCTGTTTACAATGTACATAAAACACTGTATACAAACAAGACATAAAAGTGACTAGGTAAAGTTGACTGCTCCAACCTAACTGCACTCGTAGGAATGTCCCTACGTCTGTTTATTTTCAGAATGTTCTTGTCAATACAAACCTTATTTCCTCCAAAAACAACTTCACAACTTCATCTTGTCATACAACTGCACATACACTTTTCCTCAAACTTTCATCTTCACTCCATCAATTTCTTGGGTCATCCATAAAAACACTTACTAAACATTTCACTGCTGTACCTTTTTCCACGAATAAACAATAAATCATTTTGCTTTAAGATAGCACCCAAAGGTGATTAGATATACTATATAAAGTGCGATTATTGTTAATATGCCATAATAATTGTGTTCTTCAGTGCAATAACCAATATGGTCAAAGCCTTTCAATACACATGCAAATGTCACTGTTTATTTTACTTGATTTCTTCTAGTAACTAAAAATAGTTATATTTACATGTCAAAACATGGCCGCTTATAGTTTACTCATACACAAATTATTTATGCTTCCTAAATGTACATCATGCAACCCAAATTAGATCCCACTAGAAAAGTGATAAAATACTTTGATTTTAAAAAAAAAAAAAATCACCCATACATATACAGATCTGAGTATTATGCAGCACTCTTTCTTAACACTGTTTTGAGAAGTAAGCACTTTTAAGCATTATAGAGGCACGATTATTATGTATGTGGCAAGATGTAATACAACCAAAACCCAGAATTAAAGCCCTGTGTAAAAGGAAAGTCTTATTTAATGGTAAAAGGAAATGGGAAGGATTTCTCTGCTTGAGGTCCTAGTTTGGTGGATTGATGATCCTAACTGGCTCTTTCTACACAAATTTGCTTTTCCAGTTACTGTAACTGTCCTGTGATGGGAGGAACAGTGTAAAGTGGTTGTATCCCATGACATACTGGCCAAGATGGACAGATTGCTCAAATGCATCTGTGACCAGCCAGTGGGTATTTTGTATAGCAGTAATACCCTCTGATGTTGTGAGCTAAGTTTTACACGCCTGTAAATATACAAAATAATATTTATACATTTGATTCAATGAATGAGCGCTTTGGTTTTGTAGACGTGGCATGACTTAGGTGGCCTTCCTTACTGATGTGAGGCTGCTGTTTTGATACATCTGGGTATAAATGCGAAGCTTGTTTAGGTGCTCTGTTGTCTTGACCGTGGGCAGATATTTGGCACTTCAGCTCCTCGCGTTCTTTAGCTTGCATACCATTCTGGTTGCTATCTCCTGGGGCAGCACCAGCAGAGGAAATTTTAGTTTGGTAGTGTTTGACTGAGAACTGCTCAAAATTTGAGGCCTGAATGCCCCCAGAAGCAACGTTTGTGGATAATCCATCTGATGCCTGGGAGTGCCAAGTGCGACTGGATTGAGTATTTTGCTGCTGAAACCTTGCAGTCTTATCCATGATGCCCATAAATGGGGTATTGCGAGGTCTGTGTTCAGCAATAATACCCGGAACTTGATTAACGTTATTCTCCTTGAGTCGAACGTCTGGGCCTAGCCCCTTAATATTATCTGAAATACTGGCTGAAGTTAAGCTGCTGGTTGAGCTGGCAAGAATCATACTACTGGATGGAGAACTAGAAGAGACACCACTGGTTACAGGACTTTGCTGCCTTGCTTCACTGAAATTCATCTGAGTAGGGGCTGTTAACCTGTCAGCGGTTTTAGACTTACTTGCAAAAGAATGAGAGGAGAGATTCTCATTATGCTGTGAATGGGAACACTGGCTGGACAGAAACTTCTCACCGTACAGTTCAGAACTGGGACCTGTGGAAACACTTCCAGATGACAATGTGCTTGTCCCATCCAGATGCTGAATCTTAGAGTGCCGGACTGGCAAGGGACTTTGGGGAAGATGCTGAAAAGATGGTTGTGTCTTTGTGTTACATTGACTGCTTCCCATTTTTGATCCAGGCTGGATGGAGCTCAGGTGCTGATTAGTTTTTACAATCTGTGCCTGCTTTGTTGGCTGCATGATCAAGCCTGGCTCTCTCAGATATTTATTGCCTGTTCTGCTTTGAGGGGACACAGATCTAGCTTTCTGCTGAACACCTTCTTGAAGGGTCCTGCTGTATGATGAGGCAGCTAAGGAACACTGCAGCCTTTGTGGAGGGGAAATGGATTCATCAGAGTGTGGCAGTTCCTCCTCCCTGTCTTTAAGATTAAAATTATCATTTACACCTTGTATAATGCCCTCCTCCTCATTATCAGAGTTGTTAATTTGCTGTAGTAGCTGTGGAGACTGATGCTTCTGTTGCTGCGTTCTCTGGAACTGTTTGCATTCCTCTTCTACCCGAGCCAGGAGACGTTTTATCTCCTGATTGCTAGGACACAGCTGTGTGGCTTCACGTAAGTCAGCAAGAGCAGCAAGTAGCTTTCTGTTTAGGGGAGGAAAAGAAAGTAAACTTAATAAAAACCCAGGGCAAATCTGAGTCTCAGCATTGTCTACTACTAATCCACCTCCACCACTTTCAAAGAAATATTCTCATTTGTCATCTCATGCTGCAGGTAGTGACAATGTAAGAACCAGATGTTCTCCAAACCAGGAAATCCTTTCCTACAGTGAAAACGCAGACCCAACCCTAAACCCTTCCCCTTGTAGCATAACAGGTTTTTCAGGAGAGCAGCAGAAGTCTGCTGATAACACTAGGAACCAAAGCTTTGTCTCAGAAGCCCTTTACTTCTTTACTGTTATCTTCAGAGTAGGTAACTTGCTGAACTCTGCTTTGTGACTATTTATTGTTCTGCTTAGAAAAGACATGGTGAATCAAAAAGGGACCTCTCCCTATACTTCAACTACAGGGCTAGAGGTTGGTATTTTTCCAGCTTAAAGGAATGGTTCCTCCTCCCTCCCCTTGTTTTTATCTTGAACTGCTAATGATTCAACATACCCTGTCCTATAAAAGCACCCAGTTATTCTTGGTAATAAACAATGCAGCGTGAGAGTTTGGTGGCACACTGCTGACAGCATTCTGCTGAGTCACGTGGAGTAGCAGTCCCATTCACTTAAAACAATCCCTCTTCATATCAATTTGTTACTTTCTGGACTGCCTAGTAATTACCTAAATGAGTATTCAAGTTGCTTTTTGGATTTGGTTGGCTTTAACTGATACAGAGACCTAATACAAATGGAAAGTGCACAAGGAAAACTGTTCCTCTGCAAGTTCCAAATACAACTAGCAGAAAAGAAAAACAGTTTTTGAAAGTGTTAGGAAGTTTAAAAAAAAAAGAAAACAATCTGTGCAGACAGATGCACAGAATCAAACAGTACCTGCTGTTCCTCTTGGCTCTTGCTCTAGCATAATAGGCTTCGTAAGACCTGGGTTTCAGATCCAGTGCTTTGGTAGCAAACTCCTCAGCCATACCAAAGTCCTAATAATTTAAAAAAATGTACTTATTATACATTGACAATAAAATTTCTTTTTTGAAATTTTGGGCTGCATGCCCTTTATTCACGGTACTGCTTCAAAAGTGCAGATAGCTTATGCAGTATAGAAAGTCACCTTTATCAGTCAGCAAGAGCAGGTATTTTCTGAAAGACTGAGAACAGACCTCATCTTGCTAACCGTGCCTCATGTCTAAGAGAAAGTGACTCCGAGGCAGCTAAAAAGCAATGTTAATATAGATAAGATATGGTTATTTTCAACCCAAAGATGTTAAAATGTTAGAACAGACTGCATGTTTAGCAGGATAAATGACTACCCTCAGGTAGCAAGGCTTTAGAATGTGTTTTGAAAAAAGGCTAGTTAAAGACTTAGGAGTTTAGAGAAAACCAAGAAAAATCAGGAAATGGGTTGAACTAGTCCAGAGCTTTCTTTGATAAGGCATGTGAAATTTTTAGAGAAGAATTGCACTAGAGGTAATGTTTGGTCTTCATTTAACAAGAACACAGAATAGGAGTTTAGTAAATTGTTGGTTAAACCAAAAACTGGAATTAACAAAGCAGGATTGAAATGGGGGCAAAGAGATGGCTATGGGGAAGATGAAGGCAGAAGCAAGTCTTAATTTTTCTAACAGCCATGCACAGCACAGGGTGTTCACGATACTGAATTATATCGAGCATGATGATTCAGGAGGTTGGAAAGTATTAACACCCAAAAAACCCGTCCTGATATATCATGCAAGAGCAGAGTAATGCGATGAACTTGAGCTTTGAATGTAAGGTGATGCACTTCAGGATTAGCAGACTGTAAATGAGAGTTCATCAGTGGGATATGGTAAGAAACGCACACACATGCACTAGTTGGTCACAGAGACACTTTCTGCTGTTAGTTTGATGCAACTGAAAAAGCCAATCTCATCTAGGAAGGCATCAGGAGAGGCAGTTCTAGCACAGAAAGGAAAGGATCAGTACCGCTGGACACCTATGTTTAGAAATTCTTCAAACTGGAGCAGATGCCAAGAACAACTTGGATGACTGGGGAATTAAGAAGTTACTGTTTGAAAGGCAGGAAGAGTGTAAGGTGTATTGAGAAAATCAGAAGTTTTTGCTCTGATGGTCATTCAGGTTCTTACCAGCCATCTGATGCACTGGTGAAGAAACAACCAGCACATGCAATACCTCCGTAATAGTAGGTTATGCTGTATGATAACAAAGGGTAGCGGTGGTGGCATTTTCCATTTAGTCTTTTAAAATTACCAAAAAAATCCAGCAGTTCATAATTCCAAAATAACTGGATTACGTAAGAACAGCTGTAACAGATCCCCCACGGCAACATGCCCTCATCTCATGAGCTGTCCCCATTTGTTGACACAACAAAGCCCAATATCAGGATACAGTGAAAAGGATCCTAAGATAGCAAAAGTAAAAGTCCAAGTACAAACTCAGTAACGCAGCAGAATAGAAGTCTAAGACTCCCAGTGCCAGAGAGGCAACAGATTAACAGCACAAGCTTACATTTGTTTTTCGTCGACATCGTGATAAATTTAGGTACAATGAAACTCTCAGCTCATTGAATGCTTTCATTTCTTCTCCAAATCCTTCCCTCGGAAACTTCCTCAAGGCATACTGATAGCGCTGTGCTGCTTCCTTCATCTTACCTTTCTACAAATTTAGGGAACAAGAGACTTTTCACAAACTCTTAATATTGCAATACTGTTGCAAAAAAGCACATTCATATTTGACATCTACCAACAGGTTCTTTTCAAGTAGAAAACACACAGCCAGATTTTTTTTAAAAATGAATATATACAGTATGAATTACACTTACACACAGGGCACAGTGAGAGAACTTGCACATTAACTAGAGTTTGTGTTTGTTTCTGAACTTGCACCTTTAATGGTATTTCACCAGGATAATATTTGCATTAATACATACTATTTGTACCAGAAAAAATCATGTATGTACAAATTCATGTATGATACGATTAATTATTTCTTTCTTTCCTTATTCTTTTAAACAGAGCAGTCAAATATCTGATGATGTAGCTGATTAACACTCTAAGGCCTAGATGCTTCTAGTAGAGCACATCCTTAATCGGGAATGGTGTAGTCTGAATCAGGTGGCGGTATGGCAGAATAAGCTCTGGCGATGGAAGGGAGAGGGAGGAGGAGTCCATAAAACATTGAAACACGCAGCCCAGCTACTGCCAGATTCATGTAGGTGTCTCAGCCATCGCTGGCTGGGTAACTATGAATTTAAAGTAGCAGAAGGTCACTCTCCTTCTGCTTAACAGAGGTTGAATAAAGGTGCTAATCTGTCCCTCAGGACTACCTGAACAATCCACCCTTGCATTGGAAATATTCAGATGCTTGGAGAACATCTCCATAATAAACTGCAGATCTGAGACAGTTTTGCTAAAACCACTGAAATCCTCCTACTATGATAAGAAAAGCAAATCTTTTAGCTGACAGATGAAGAAATTCTTCTCTTTATGGATATTACAAGTTGATTTCTTTTCATAAACATTGGGTGTTTTTTACTGTTTAATACATCTTAACACTCAAAGTGGTCAAAATTTACTGTTGAAACTGACAAGGAAAATATTTAAGGTTTATCTTATTTTACTCAGCTGGAGAGCTGAAAAGTAGTTACTGCATACTGTGAGCACACTCAAATGCACGTTACTCTTCAAAATAACTATCCATGTAAAACACTTTGGCAAATAAATAAATCAAAGTATACTGGAAAAAGCTTAACAAGCTAAATGACATACGGTAGCTCTAGCAAGTCCATTCAAATAACTGTAATAAAATTAAGCACTCTAAAAATAGATAGCAACAGGGAATTCAACCTCTTGTGACTAGCTGTAAAACATATTAGTACCAAGTCCTGCCGTGTTACTCTGTGGTCTCAGGGTCTAGGCAGGGTTCAACTTGTGGAGCAACTTGAGGAGAAACTGAGGAAAATGCATTGGTGCTGGTGACATGGTGGCACCTGCTCCCTGCACAACTGCGGAGTGGCATTCAGCACACCACTGCAGGAGTGTGACTCAGGAGAGCCTTCCCAGGGATGACAGAGCTGCCTTTGCAGCATAAAATCTCATCCTTTAGGTTGAAAGATGTCCCATGCTTAAAGGTACCCGCTTGGATATGAAGCTCGAAACCCATCTCAGGATCAATAACTTGATAAATTACCCAGACGTATTCATAAGACTCCTATACGGAATTTGGGAGAAATCGAAGCAGGTCCACCCTGATTCATGACAGCCAAGTCTCAAGGGTGTCTCTTCCATACTATGCAAAGCCATTTGATACAGAACAAAGATCAGAGAGAAGGTGGCAGGTATTTGAGGGCCCTTATAAATAAAACCCTCCAGATCACAAGTCCTGTAGCTAGAACAGACTTTGAATGATGCCCATGTAAGCCACTCAGCACTGTGTTGCACTAGTGAAATAACACAGGTGTATCGCACAGTTTACAAAAACAATTCCAGCCTCTCTTCTGAGCAATATATCACCACTAGTAAAAAGAACGTATCAAAAGAGCTGTCACTTCCCTCATTATATATTTAAATAGCACACAAAAGAACATTATCCTGAAGAAAAGGATATGCCTAACTGTCACTTAATTCAACCAGGCACTTCCAAACAAGCACCTTACATTCTGAATTGCTCTTAAGAAGCAACTGACTGCTAAAATGTTCTCAGAGCAACTTGCTCAACGGAAAGAAAATGTACTTAATATTTATTTATTTTACACAGGAGTTTTCAATGATTCTTTTCCATGGTTCTCAAGATTTCTTGCTCTCATTCCCAATGTGAGAGGATGTGCAAGTACACATCTTGTTTGAACAGAAAAGGAGGTATAGAGAACTTTAATCTACCTTCAGACAAGAGTCCAATTATAACGTTCTGCTATCAGAAAAGATAAAAATCTACCTACTTTGTACAGTGTATTTCCTTCTTCCATCAGCTTCTGCAGCAGAATAAGGAGAATATCGGGTTTTGAGGTGGCCATTGCCCATGCTGCATTTCCTGCAAGTTAAATTTTAAGGATCTCTGACAAAAGGGAAGGAAGTGTGTTTCTGGTATCTAATCACACTAGAAAGCCTAATCCTACTTCAGTAGATATTCCACCTGCATGGAACTACTATTATTATGATTATGTGCACATATATTTAAAATACATATATATCCCTACCTGCCCCCTGCCACCCCACACAGATAGCAGCCAAATATTAAATAGTCTGATTCATTTTACCCCTGGTCTAAAGCCAGTATAGGACAGTATGAAAGTCATGGTAAAGTTCAGGCCTAAGTACGGATCTGTATTTGATCATACTTAGTACCCAAATAATAATAAATGATGACTTAAAGGTACTACAGATTCAATAATTATCACGTACACAACTGCACCATCTACTTGCCTACTGATAATACACGATTTGGACATGTATTTTTTGCCCACCCTTTGCAAAAATGTATTATTCTATAATTTATTAGAAGAATGTTATTTAAATGTAAAACTTCTTAATATAAATTGTTAATAGTGTCAGAATTAAGTATCACTAATAGCGTAATCATCATTTTCTTGTTTAAGTATATCACGATAGAGTAACCATGTAAAGACCGAGTCCCCCAGACCACCTCATCAACATATATCAAAGAAAGGAATACAATAAAATTACTTGCATTTCCTCACTTCTGAAGTGAGTCTTGAGTGTCTGCCTTTAAAAGAAAGAGATCGATTCCTACTGAGTGGGCGTCTGCAAACCATACAACCTGCAAAAATCTAGTGTGTATTTCGACATTTATTTATTTAATCTACTCTACAGAAATGACAGCAATTCTAGCAGAGCAGATATTCAGTTGTTTCTCTTGAGTTTAGGATAGTTTTACTAACCTAGTTTAGCTCCTTTTCTCAGTAGCATAACCACTACTGATGTATTACGACATCCAATAGCTCTGTCCAGCGGCCGCATGCCACTGTGGTCAACATGCTCAATCATTGCTCCTTTCTCTACCAAATACTGCACCTGTGAAAAGAAACAGAACAAGCCTTTTAACAATATTTTCAGTAGGAGAGGCAGAACAGTGATATATTTAAGCTACCACCTAATCTTCCTTGAAGTATACTGAGTATACGCTCCAGAGTATGCTAAAGCCGTTTTAAATCCATTGAACTGAATCCATTGAAGACAAGCCAGCATGGGAATACTATCAAACTGCACCGAAGAGCTGCAGTTAGGGAATTAAAAAAAAAAAAAAAACAACCAAAACACCAAACACCACCCAAATTCCTGGCTGTACCTGTGTCAGAAAAACACTAAGACCAACATGTTATGCTTGTTTCCTTCTTCGTTCATGTTCTCCATGCCTATATGCAGACATGGCAACTCAAGCATAAAGGCAGTAAGCTCAGATGAAAACAAGAGTAGCAGCATAGGCCCTGTGGTTCAGCTTCAAGTACACCGTAACACTACAATGACAAGCATGAAGTGCCATAACAGAATATGCTCCTAGTGTAGGACACAATGCTATACAAATACAATAAACAGAAAATACACAGGCTACTATCATGTAATGCGAGAGATTTAAAACATTCTAGTTAACAGTGTAAATACAAGTTATGGTGCTGCAAGTGGTAATGCAAATCACATTTATAATTTTCTTCTTTTCTTAACCATTTATTATGACAGCCTAACACTGCAGTTGGACATAAATGCAGCAAATGTAAAATGCAGCAAAGGCAAATAAGGAATTTTAAGAAAGCAAAATAAGCATGCCAGACACCATCAGCTTCCACCAAGCATTCACCAAGCATCCAGAGCAACGGAGAAATTCTAGTAATTGTCCATCAGCAATACTAATTAAAATTGCAATACATAGGAAATGACAGCGATGGCAGGTTTGATGGAAGCAACAGTTCTTTCACATAACCATTGCTTGCCCAAATGTGACTGGCAGTAATCTAGCATGGCAAGAGGCATTAACAATCCTTCCCACTGGCAGGCCCCCAAGACCCGAAGGTGCTGGCCTGCCGAGTGATTGCTTAGTTAGTGTTATGGCACCTCTGTCTGCCTGTCGCCCTAGCACAAAGGCCAGGCTGTTCAGCCGTATAGACTGGCCACATCAGCAGTGCATCAGGTGAACTGGCAGCTGGTGAACTCCAATACAATAACCTGTAGTAAAAGTATGCACAGGAGTCTGGATATCCCTCATTCCCAAGCAGGAAAGAAGTCCCTCTTCAGGTACCCAGTGTGACCTAGAAAAATACTTGCAGTGGCAAGAATAGCTCCATGATGTGACTTCTGAAACCTGTTAAAGCCAGTACAGAATCTAAGGGCTTATTTACAATTTCAAGTTAATTCTGACTAAGGGTGAATGGGACTTAAAGTGTTATAGGAAGTTATACTGTATGGCAGCATTTTTATTCAAGAACTGCTGTTTTTCTCAGATTTGAGCATGCCCTTCCATGCAGTTTGAGGAAACCGTATTCCTATTTGGTCAGGCTTCTGAATTGTGCTTAATTACCGAGTTTTGAAGCATGAGAACAAAAATATGCAATCACTTCAAAAATCTGTAATTTTGAAGATAAATCACAGACTTTAAACTTATTGTATACTTTTGATCTCAGTTACAGGCATGGTCCATTTCAAATTTAGAAAAACTTCACCTAAAATGCCTTAAATTCTTGCACTGTAAGATTTATTATAGAGGAAGAAGGTAGTATGTGAGAAAGGTACTGGACTGAAAAAGGAACTTCAGTTGACCTATTTCTGAAATGAGCTGTGGCACAAACTGAGAAATACTGCATTCACACCTCAAGCCTTGTATTCCCATCCATATAGACTGGATAGTAACAGTAACACTGACATGTGCTCAGTGCCGTCTTCACAAGATGAAAAGCATAAGGATTTCTAACAGTTCTCTCCCTGTCATGCAAAGCATGTAAGATGCCTATCAAAGACAAGTAATGCTGCCTTATGATGGAGAAGCAAAATCTTTCTGCATTTCACCTATTCTGACAATAATATTCTTCTTCCTACATCTCTTGGGGTCTCTGTTCCACTAAGACACCCAACTGACTGGGACCCTGTCAGGTTACCTTGATGGGTTTGCAGAGGCTGAAAAAAAGATATTTTCCTTTTATGTCCCACAGGCTTTTTTTGTTTTTTTTTAATTCCAGTTCATCCAAACACAGAAATTGTAAATGCTACTTTTTATTGAGATTTAAAACACTCATGATGAAGTACAACAGCACACTGTAAAACGTAACGGCATAATGCTGGCCTTTATCACAACTACCTCAGTACTAAAACCTTATCTAGAAAATGCTTGTCTGAGTAAACACTTGCACTGCAGTTAAGATGCTAGCAGTGTTCTTGGCTGCTTCCTCAAATTCCCTTCCTATTCTGGTTGGCAATATTTTTTTCTAAGCTTTGTTTTGTATTATGAAAATTCAATACACACTGAGTTTTTCTACTGTTAGTTCTACTTACAATATCAGCATCTCCATAAAAAGCTGCCAGGTCTAGAGGTGTCCGGCCATTTTTGTCTGTCTGATCAGTTGTTGCACCTTTCTCAACTAAATATTGAACCACTTCCCTGTGGCCTTTTAGGCATGCCCAGCTCAAAGCCGTCAGTCCTTCTTTGTCCAGAGATGAAATAGTTGCCCCTGTAAAATGAGAATTAACTTTGTTATGAAGATGTCCTGTTTAATAAGCCAGATTACCTAACTCACACAGATGCAGTCTCTGGTACAGCTGTGCAGCCTTGAGCCACTAATTATTTTCTACCTTCAGAAAGCAGAAATTCCACAGTGCTCAAATGTCCTTCACAAGAAGCCACCATAAGCGGAGTTCGGCCTTGCTTGTCGCTTAAATTCACATCAGACCCATGCTCCACTAGAAGTTTAGCAATCTGAAATAGAAAATAGCGATTTAAAAATAAATTGGCAGATTTAAATTTTAGCCATAATAGCATGAACTCTTAAAGAAGAGGACTAAGCTGTTTTTTTACAGCAGTCATTGAGAAATCCTGCGCAACTCCAGCCTTAACTGTTTGCAGTTCAGGGCCTTCTCCTGACGGGAGTGGCCAGCACGAGGAAGGCTCCTGACTCTCAGGTTCTCTCTCCGTTAATACAGAGGCAGTATAGAGGATCTGAAATTGCCTCTGTTCTTGGTCTAGGAAATAAAAATATTTTAACTCCCATGTATTATTTTTCAGGTATACTATAACTAAGGTTGCCATGCAGCCGATGTACTTTTGAATCCTTTGTATCACTTTAAATAACTTAAACAGTGACCCTCTGAACATATCCCTTTGAAGTCGATGCAAATGCGTGTTAGAAAATTTACACTAATTTATTGCAGGACTAGAGATCGAAGGAATCAAGGACTGCTTCCCAAATGAATTAATTTAATGCGCGAAGATGTGTCAGACCTGCCAGTGCCCCTGCCGTACTGCACAGAAAAGTGGAGGAATTCCCCTCCTATTAGCTCTCGTCACAACTGCTCCGTGTTCAAGAAGTAATTCGCAGACTTCCAGTTTTCCTCTTCCTGCAGCAGCTGTCAGGGCTAAAGAAAGCATTTTCATCAACATCATCTCTGAGCTGTTTTACCCCATCTTTTGACACATGCCAATTATGTGAGTGTTACTGAATCCCCCATTTTTTCAACTCAGCTGCTCCATAAGATTTTCGTAACACAAATGAATTAGTCAGAATCAGGTTAAGTCAATAAGCCACAGACATTCTCTGGTAAATAAAAAAATTATTCTCAAAGATAACAACTGTGTCACGTGCATAGCTTTTAGGTTAAAAGGAATCTTTATGAAAATGTTGGATAAACCCATCAGCCTGAGGCAGTTCTCGTTCCTTTTTCATTAATCATTTTTTTCATGACAAGAAAGCTTCTTCTCTTTCCATCAGGCCCTTGACAAAGATGAAGATGACAACGGTTCTGGGAGTCAACAGAGGGACTGTAACTCAAGTTTCAGGAACAACTGTTTACTCCATCCCTAGCAGTGATGTATTACCAAGCATCAGATATTTAGATCTCTGCAGAAAGCCTGCATCTTGGACAATTTACCTTCATTCTGCACTATTTAAAAATGTTTTCCCTGGTTTTCATGGTGAAAAACACAGTAGGTTATCAATCCATAGTTCTAATACCTGTGCGTTAACTCTTGCTCTAGACTTCAAGGGATTACTGTACATTTTCCAGTACACAAGAGACATCAACATTCTAATTCACCTTAAAATCTTTTTTGAACTGAACAGTATATGTTGTCAAGAGTGAGTGCTCTTGACCTCTACCTAAAACGCAGTAACCTTGCAACTTTTAAACAGATAGATACTACTATCAGAAGACACCTTTCCAGCCCTGGCTGAAAACACCCGAGTATCGCAATTGCACGCACACCTGCACACGCTGGCGATGGAGCAGCCCAAGACAACATAGCAGCAAATGTGTCCAGGTAGCGCAATAATAAAACCACCGATAGGATCTTTATTTCATACGTTCATAAGACACAAATTACTGCACATCTATGTTCACAATATATGGCTTTATGAGAAAGCAGGTAATTTCCACATGTTCAGCCCTAGCATTTTGTGAGTCTACTCAGTACCACAGCGCTGAAGCGTTGCTGTAAGTCTATACGTTTAAACAACTTGTCACCTTCTCCTATAGCTTATTATACTCCTTGCTTTTCACTGTGACACTCATTGAAGCTTGAAAATAAAATATTTTCCCAATCATGATTCTTTCTGCTCTTCCATTTGGCTTGCATCAACTTCTTGTGTGTTTTAAATGGAGCTTGAAATTAAAATAGGGTTGTTTGTTGTTTGTGTTAAAGCATCATCAGTAATGTCAACACTGTTTAGAAAATGAGTTCATATGCTAACTTCTGCAAGAATCAGCAAAGGCCTTGCCCCTCCATTTTCTAAATCCTAATACCGTATATTTTCCAGTAAGAAGAGGGTCAAATTGTGAATTTCTTGTTACTCAGGTTTAGGATTTTCAAACATGATAAAGTAGAGTTTTTAAAAATTCCAATGGATGCTGAAAGTAAATGAAATTACAAACACCACAGGAAGCAGTAAATTCATTGTTTCTTTTAACAGCAATATCTAACCCATTCACTCTTCACTCACTGATACTTCACTTTGTTACAGTTAAGTCAACTGTTTAGATCTGAACAACTGGAAAAGTAACTGTTACAGATAATCAACATTAAACGCAAACCAAACTATCTTATTCTAAAAGGTCATGTTTCTTATTCTGTCAGTACCACCATTTTTAGTTCCTGGTGTAACTAACACTACAGCAACAACACACCTCCCTATACCTTATCCAGGTATAAGAAGACTAAACAAGTCCTCCAGTCAGCTTAAACAACATCAGGACTAAACCCTGCTCAGGAATTCCAACATTCTACTCAGAAAGATCACCTCTGATACGCCTAATGGTACTCTGCAAAAGTCGAGTGCAGCCAAAATGATGCTATTTTCTACCATTTTTACTAGACAGTAAGTAATGCTCCAAAGTAGCTAATCTGTATAGAACATATGCGGCTGGAAAAACATCTGAGAGCTGTCTTTAACCTAAGATCATCTGTTCCAACTAAGACATAGTAAAGTAGATTTTGACAAGGTTAAACTAAGGAAATTTAGAAAACAGGCTTAAAAGTCTCCCACCCCTACATCCTCTCATTTCATGTGTTACATGACTTTTTTCATCTGCTCCCCTTTAATTTGCTATTTAACTTGCCCTGAACCTGTACTTCATACAGACATGGCCTTCAGCTACATTAATATGATAAAATATTGGGAATGACAATGATGATTTCCAGCCATCTTTCCCTCTAAACGATTCACAACATAAAATGCTATTGAAACAGCCTCCACAATGAGCAGAACCACCTTAGGATTCATGTAGATAGCAGCAGTACAAGTATACGAACAGAATCAAGCTCTTCCTGAATTACGTTGCTATATGAAAAGGAAAGATCTTTAACGTTGTTCTGTGCTGTTTCAAGGTGCAATGGATTTTCCCGTTTTAAAATGGGCACTCACAAAACACCGCTCCTCACTCCATCTGCCTCACACTTGTACGTTTTATCAGTACCCAGTTCCATGTCACGTCCCAGTTACCAAACAGACAGCAGAGACCCACGCAGCACCGTGCCAATGGAAGCTCACCCGCACACGCAAAACTCTGAAGGTTCCAGCAGCATGGAAGTCAGCATCCTTTCCACATAAAGTTTTTTACCTTCAATAACTGAAGAGTGATATTTCATGTAACGCCAGTCCTGTGGCTATTTTGCCTCACTCTATGTGTTTTTCTTGTCCCGCACTTTAACTACTCTACCTCAGAGCGCCCAAAAGCGCCACAGGAACTGCTGGCAGTTCTCTCGACTCGAACCTTCACCTCCATCGCAAGTATGGACTGCATAAGGAAGCACGCACTTAATGAGTAAATGTTCCCAGTACCTTAAGCAAGAATTTCAATACAAAATGCTGACAAGAAAATATTAAAGGAACATTAATTTAGAAACAGATGTATGTTTTTTGGAATTCACTGGACTTGCAACAAGAGTTTTGTATGTGCATAGGAATAAAGAACATTTGCTCCTCCAGTATGCGAAGAGGATACTGGCAATCATTAAAAAAGACTGCTTTCCCACCTGCTTGTGCAATCTCAGCTGTTTAAATGGAATCGAGATGCTACTCATATGGTAAAACAGGAAAACTTTCAGCTGCAGGCTGCAGTTTACAGTCTGTCTTTAAAAAAAAAAAAATTGGCATTTCCCATACATACAAAAGCATGTCTTTTCATCCATTGCCTAATTAGAACACAAGGCAATTGCCTAGCATTTCCTGCAAACAAATGACATTTTAAAAAAAAAGTTCTCAGATAATCCTATGACATTCTACACTGAAGCTTGAAGCACTGTATTTCCACAGACAATGTTCAATTTAATTAGAAAGTCAGTAATTTACAGTAATTTTAATATAAAAACCTCTTCTTTTCCATACATGAGATGAGTACATTTAGTGAGTTAAAAACTCTATACTTATGCTTATAAATTGCATTTTATTATTTAAACTGGTATTTTCCCATGACTTTTATCACAGAAAATTAAATTTTAAAAAAGCAAAATTAAAAACTTTTACTTCTTAAATGAGCAACTCTAATTAGGGAAAATATGAGAAAGGAAAATACCTGTTTCTCCCCACAAGGCATCAGTCTCATTGACGTCTACTTCGTGCTCCTTTTCAATTGTCAAGATGTAACAAACCACCTGTCAAAACCAGTTAGCAGAGATGCAGTGAGTCGCAAAAACCATCAGCTGCCACTTGCAAGATACAGCACCAGATAGAAGACTTAAAGCAAGTGAGAGTGCTTCTCTCTTAATGCATATGAATGAAAGAAAATTAATATTGCTCAAAATACATCAAAGCAAGTTCAGTATGATTTTTACTATGACTTGAAGAAGACTGAATGCTATTGAAAGCAGTTTAAAAAAAAAGTCCAGTGCCCTTCTGTGAATTGGTTCAGGGAGTTTCACATGATTATGATTTAATGAGCTCCTGTGTGATGTACATATACCAGAATAATCAAGACAAACAATGCCAAAAATAATAAAAAAAAAGCATCCTAGTTCAGTGAGGAAATTCCATATTGTCTAAATTGAAGGGGGGAGGGGGGAAGAGAGTATTTGCATACATATTGTAGAACAGGGATTCCTATGTTTTTCCTTTTACATTGTTCATATCTTAGCTGTTTTTCAGAATTTCTTCACAGTATGGTTTAAGCATACATTGTTAAATGCTAATTTTTAAACTTGAGACAAGTTATAAATTAAGTTTTATTGTGTTTTTATATTACTAAGGAAATCTATGTTTTGTAGCCACCTGCTAGTAAAAGATTATTAAATTTAAACCTCTGCTACTGGCTATTTTAAGCAAATTTTCTAATGGGAGACACGGTCACTGAGACTGCAGCAAGCAGGTAAGGGAGTAGAATCACATTAACAAAAAGTTTGGATGCTACGGGAAAACACAAAGGTAGGAAAGGAAAAAGTATATGGGTATTTTCGGGCTGTGTGAAAAGTGTTGTATACAGTATATGGAAAAATCCTAAAATTCAACATGCTAGAATATAATTTATTTAAAATTCATGAAACACACAAGCTTTTTTTCTAGCTAAGAAGAATTAAGCTTCTTATTGTCCTAAAAATAGAGAAAGATGGACATTTTCAGGTAAGAGTAAGTATGTATGATTAATGTGATCCATTTTGTTGATATTCAGGAGTTGACTGCTTTCATTTAATCAGTGAATAGCAAACAAGAACTTTTATGAGTGAAGGAATTATCCATTAATTCAAATTAATCATACTTCAGAATCCTCAAATTTATATTGTGAGACAATCATGGCTTCTATATCATATAATAAATTAATTGCACATAGACATTTCTACATTTGAATCATGTAAACAACTTTAAAGATCAGATTCCCCATCTTATAGCAAAGAGAAAAACAGATTTAAAAGTAGTAAACATTGAAATGGTTTTATTGAAGAGATTTTAAGTTTCCACTTTTGGCACATCACTTACAATACATACACAGGAAATTCCATCAGCCTAGTGTAATCGTTATTCAAGTATCTTTACTTACTGATCACTTTTATATCAAGGTTAAGATTTATTTTCCTAATGAACATAAAACATACTTGTATTATCTAAATGTCTAAAGCATTTTGAGTATCTCTTATGTATCTCTCTACTTTTAGTGTTCCTTTTTACTGAATGCTACTGTAATGCTGACAAACACTTCTTTTATCACATACACGCACAACCCCAAATTTCTGTCTGAAGTGACATTAAGCCAAAGTAAGCCGAAGTCTGTAACTCGACACGTGCATCAGGTTAAAAAGTTAAGCGTGTGCAAGTATGTGCAATGTACAATTTGGTACACTATGAAAAAAAAATTTCAACCTGAAGTAGAAACATACTAGGGTGGGTCACTGATACCGAATACCGTCGTTGCCACTAGAGATTTAGGACAACTTCCAAGAACAGTGAGGAAAAAGTAGACAGAAAATTACATATAAACAAATCCCAAAGCAAATGTTATTGGCTAATTAACTACATCATTTAAAACAGCTGCTAAGAATGCATACTACTTTAAATATCAGAAGTTTCAATAGTTCTGCTTTCCAAACCTCTCTTAAAAATAGCTGCAAGCACTGTTGTACAATTCTGACACTTCAGACATTTCAAAATCTGTTTGAATTTATCAACCTACCTGACAGTGTCCCATACTGGAAGCTGCTGTTAATGCCTGTTGTAGTGCGTGGCTTTTTCTTAGTGAATTTTGTTCTTGGGAAGGAGTTACCCAAACAACATTGAGCAAGTACTCAAGGATATCACAATGCCCTCTCAATGCACTGTGTACCAAAGCACACTGGCCTTTCTTGTCTACATAGTCAGCCTGCATTGGGGAAAGAAAAAAAAAAAAAATGTTCAAAGTTAAAAAGTCTAGTGGATGGCCATGGAGAGGAGAAGCTCCTCAGCACTGCAAGAGAGCAAATGTCACTCCTATCTTCAAGAAGAGCAAGAGGGAAGATCTGAGGAATTAAAGGCCAAATAGCCCCACCTTAGCTGCTGGGATGGTGATGGAGAAACTAATCCTGGAAACCATTTCCAAACACATGAAAGACAAGAAGGTGACTGGCAGTAGTCAGCACGGGTTTACAAAGGGGAAATCATGCTTAACCAACCTGACAGCTTTCTAAAATGAGGCGACTGGCTCGGAGGATGTGCGGAAAGCTTTGGATGTTGTCCACCTCGACTTTAGTAAGGCTTCTGACACTGCTCCCATAACATTATCATGGACAAGCTGATGAGGTACAGGCTATGTTAACCACACAGTGAGGTGGACCCAAAACTGGCTGAGCAGATGGGCCCAGAGGACTGTGATCAGTGGCACACGGAAAACGCTTCATGGAAGTCTGTGTAGATGAGCTAGACTCCCCGTCTTCAAGTCTATGTGTGTTAATTATGTAATTATGTAATCAACAACAGTTTTCTTAGGCCTTTGCATGACACTTTTGCTTGCAAACATTGCAATCTTCGTGCACCAGCTTACCTTTGCACCTTTTTTGCACAGCAGTGAAACTATGTTCATGTGACCTGCAGCGGCTGCATAACTAAGTGCTGTCATCCCATTTTCTGAAGTTCCATCAACAGCAGCTCCAAATTCTAGTAAAAGAGTGACCACTTCTTCATGTCCAAGGTGCGACTGAACACACAGCACTGGAGCATTATTTAATACTTCAGTCCTGTAATTCACATTTGCTCCTGCCAAGATCAGCAGCCGACTCACCTGAAATTTAATTTAAACAAAACATTTTTTTCCTCAGATTTGTCTGAATTTATTAAGAGACTTTAACATCTTGATTCAGGAACTCATATGTTACTCCCTAATTTTGATGCAGATTTTATTGGCAGACATCAACTCTATCACATATATAGCAATATGAAAGTTTAAGATCATCTGTTAGCAAATAAATGATTGTATTACTGAGCTATGTATTCCTAATACAAGACTCACCTCTCCCCTGAAATTCGCTACTCTCTCACCACAATTTCATCTGTTGTAACAGTAGGATTTTTGAAGGTGTGACTCAGTAGTATTCTGCAGATTTATGTAACTGACTCCATTAATAGAGAACCAGATTGCATAAAAAGCAATCCCAAAGAAATTGTAAGAGCATGCGTGTGTGCGCACGTGCACACAAATTTCCAATCAAAAGGCTTAGCAGTTGGCTAAAATTGCAGCTTGTCAACTTGGATTTCCCTATCCATAATCCAAGGATTCAAATAATAGTGCAAAGTTCTGGCATTTTACATCCTTTCACTCTCACAGTATTTCCCCTTTTACAACTCCCTTGATACTTCCCCATACAAGAAAATACGGCTGAACTCCACCCCGCAAGTCAGGGGGTACATTTGACCCCCTGAAAATGCATCCACACACTTATCTATGCTACAGAGCACGGTTACCTCAGAATCACGGTGAAACCCTTCTTTCCATCAAAACTATCAAGGAAAACTTATTTGGACTTTAACAGCTTAAAAAAGTACATGAAGACTTGTTATAAAGGAGTTCAGTTACAGATGCATAGTGGTGGCTTTTTTTTCTTCACATTAATTTCAACATTCGTCAATGGAGTCACAGCAACAGTGGCAGATGAAGCACTGATTGCACATGAATGCTTATTTCTTACCTTCACATTGGGTGTATAGATGTTTCTCAGAGAAGCAAGGGCTGCAGAGAGTCCATCAGTACTATAACCAATCCACAAGGCTTGAAGATGACTGGAAGAAATTCCAGTCCTTTTACTGAGACCCTAACAGAAATGAATGACAGGAAATCACTCCATAGGATTAGAAATACTATTTATATCTACATCTCATCAGTACAGAGAGAAGTAACAATTTTGTTTGTTAGCACTACCAAGTATTTTGCATAAGCTTCTAAAATATTATTAAAGCAACTCAGAGGAGAATCTCTAAGACGCATCCATATGAATAGATCATAAACCTATTAAAGCTGTAAGCTTTACCTTAAAAATGTGAGCTTTAAGTATATGATGACCAAGTTCCATAGTTTGTTGGCGGTTTAACTTTCCCTCTTGTCGAGAAAACATGAAAGCCAGTAGAGCATGTCCATTCCTAGTAAAAGGAATTGAGAGAACTGCTTTTACAACTATACTTTCAGTAAATACCCTAACACATCTGTATGTCTGTCATAATAGTGCAACTTTCTTTGTCAAGACTACTGAAACATATCATTACACCTCAACAAAATTTTTTCCATAACAAAATAATACAAAGAGAAAAGAGGCAATTTCAAAGCTGAAACACACGCCTAGTATTTCTCTACTGTCACCTCACAAGAGGCCCATGTCAGAACCAATGCAGCTTTGGACAACAATGTGCATACCGCTCCCCTTTTGTCTTGTTTCACCTCACGGTCAGAAACTTCAGGTATCTCAGATAAAACCCAATCCTTTCAGAAGTAGAAGATCTGAATCCTTTTGAAATTTGACATAAAAGGTGTATGTAGTAATTCTACACCTACATTAGTTGGTTGTCAGTGTTCTACGAAACAGTGGAAACAGCATAACCTTGAGAAAACAAGGTTATCACATACTATACATTCATCAGACTATATACTGGAACTGGACAATAACCATATCCTAGTTAGACTATTCATCTGGGGGATGAATTTGTGTGGGGCTTCTCACCCCATCTTCCGAAATTTCTGAACAGCGCTTTTCAGAAATGGAAGCTTTAAGCAAGACTAGGCAACATGCTGCCTTCGGTTAGGGCACGCACTGTGCATCAGGTGCTCAGTGGGCCCAGGGTGCCGCTAGCAATGGTGCAAAACGGTAGGGACCAAACAGTCTGCAACCCTGATAACTCCACCTACTGAACTGGTTTTGTGAAATCTGCTCGAAAGCACAGAGAAGTCTTGGGTTGGTGATAATTTTAAATGTCAGCATTATTTTTTTGTAAAAACAAAAAACCTAAACCCATGGGGAATATGAAAAAAGTGGAAGATGCAGACTGTGAGAACGTGCACGTACAGTAACAGCTTACTCTCTCCAATTTAACTAATTCATGCTCTCTAAGTCAAAGAAGGTGAGATGGAACAAACTGAAACAATGCCATGAGGATACAGTTATAGAATTAAATGTCTTAATATTTTTATGTTTAAAAAAGCCCAAATGATCTGTTCTTTCTATTCCTGCACTCTAAAGAGACAAGGTGCTGCACATAATTCTCAACAATTTTGCTATATTAATAACAACACAATACTCTCATTTCCCCATGAAGATAGCAAAGTCAAATGCAAATTTGCAAATTCTACAGTGTCAATTATGCATTGTAACCTCTGATACTACTGGTCAAATCTACATATATAGAAGTTTTCATTTTGGAAAAAATTAGGCATGCTTGTGTTTTAACATTACTCTTCTCTCACTGATTGTTGCAACCAATTATATAAAACATGATAGCAGTTATTTGAACATAATATACTGCAGGTTTCATTTACCTTGGCTCACATAGGAAGTCAGTATTTTCACCGTCTGCTCTCCAAACAAGCCATTCCCTGAAGGAAGGATGGCAGAACATACGTGTTTTGTCACGTCTTTTTATCAGAAAACATGAAAGGGCTTCCATCCTTTGGCTGAAGTCTTCCCATTGTTGTTCACCATTTATCTGGCCTGCATTAATAGCTTGGAAAATCTGGTCATCTGTCATGGGATGCAGGGATGCCAGTGCCACATTTAATATTGGCAGAGCTCGCTCAAAAGCGGAGTTTGTCATAAACTTCATATTGCACTGAAGTAAGTACAGTTCCGATAGAGACACTGGAACAACTTTGTAGCTTGCACTTTTGATTACTAAGTGACCTTTTTGGAAAAGATCCAGAGTGAGTTTCAAATAGAGATAAGATCCCAGGCTTCTCATGATCAGGTGGTTACTCACTTTCCCAATAATAGCTGCATCAGCTTTTCCATTTAAAGATATGTTGTTTATAATTTCCTGGCTGTTATTAATTCTGTACTGAATGTAAGCATTCAAGTCCTCATGAATGTCTTTGTTGTCTGGAAAATTGTCCAGGGATATTGCAAGAAAGGGCAGTGAACTTACCACTTCCTATGGGGGAAAAGGGGGGAAGGGGAAGAGAGAAAAAACCACACAGGCATTACAGTATTCCAGCACTGAAAACTCAGCGATGCATCTTTGCTATATTTCTCTTCTGTAATGAGCACCAGACAGATTAAAAAGAAATTCAGCATCTCTGTGATGGCTTTGCAAATATTGTCCCCTGATAACAGGTAGAACAGTATTTCTACATTTCATCATTTTTCATAGTAAGGTCTCAAATATTTTACTGTATTTTACTGACCAAGCTCAGCAAGGCAATTGAAGGGGATGAGCTATAGAAATGATCACTTCAAAATTAAGGGAACAGAAAACAGTTACGGGAATTGCACCCTAAGACAGGCCAGGGGAAGGAGGGAGGTAAAAGGAATGATCTGGTAAGGAGGAGCGATTTAAGAAATATCTCAAATGACAAGAGAGAAAAGAATCTCCTCATCATTACATCTTCCAGTAGCAAGGTACCAGAAAGGTACCATCCACACAGCCCCATTTCGTTTGAAGCAAGTACCAAGTATGGCACAGTCAGACACTTCAGCAGGTTTACCTGAACGCATTTTTATGTTATGTCACACACAACACGTTCATGTTTATGTAAATGAAGATCCAGAAGAACTAAAACTACGTAGAGGCACATATCAGAAGGTTTTAACAAACTTCTCAACACTTTCACAAAACAAAAAGGAACCCCCTATTCCACTTAAGTAGTCACATGGATTTCAAAAAGCTGGACTTTCAGGGCTAGTGAGATGTTTTGGTCACAGATGCACACTTCTCCAGACAGGAGTAGTCCCTACTACAGAAATCCCTTGTAAAAAAAAAAATTTAGTTGAGAACTGAGCTCTTCAGCCAGTTAAACGCTTGGAGTCCTAGTGGCCAGAAGGCAGATACGAACTAAACTCTCAGACGGCTGTGCTGAAGCACAGCTGCACCTCAACATTGCCGAACCAGACTTCACATCAGCGCTGTCTTGCACCTTGTCGGCTTGGTTGCACAGAGCAACTCTGGAGCCACCTGCCTACTTCTGTCCAGGTACACTCGCAACTGCGTTTAGGAAACAGCTACTGCAGAGCTGGACTTCAGCCCTCCTTCAAGCCGTCTTTGAGAACGACGGATGCCTAGTCAAGAGGCAGTGCAGGACCGGTAGAGTTGTATCTCAAGCACTGTCAAAATATATAAAGGGTGCTATCTCAGAGACACGGTGAAAGACTAAAACAGACACACCGTCTTTTTTAAACTGAAATGAGCTGAAGGCGACTATCTTAAAATAGCCTGACTAGGGCTGGAAACAAAACCAGAACTTTGTTCAGAACGTTGCTGTCCAGCACAGAAAACCAGGAATTCTGTATGGCCTCGCTTAAACAGTCTCAGGATTTCTGCAAATGCCTCTTAGCTGCTTAATTCTGACAAAATGCTTTAACCAGAAGTTTTGTGGCTGGGTTTTTTCAGGGGCAGCAAACAGATGAAGAGATGCAGAGAGATCAGTGGTAATAAGGACAGAAATCGATCTCATCAACATAGATACTGGAACTGTGGCTTATCCCTTCCTAAAAAGTGAAAATGCAGAGCCTAATACTAGCAGAAATACACTCCAACATGTAAACATTGAAGCCAGAATCACTATGGGCTTCTAATTACTGGGGTTTTTTTTAAGCTTTCAATCATTCATTTGCCCATTTCACCCTTGAAGGCCAAGGAAACATATGCTGATTTCACCGCTTCTTGTGTTATTAATTCTTGCATACTCAAGAAAGTGATTAAAAAAAAAAAAAAAAAAAAAAGGCCTCCAATATCATACTTGTGCACTGTAAAGAAACATGCAACAACAAAGAAAGGAAGGAAAAAACCCCAAGAAACTTTACTTTGAATTCCCCTAAAACTAGTATTTTTCATAATAATGCAGCTGCGCCAATATAAAATATCACTTACTCTTTGACAGAAAGAAAAAAGTTAAAAGGTGTTTTTACCTGGAAGTTAGTTCTCACAGTCACAATGAGCTTCAACCAGGGAGGAAACTTACAGATTATGCTTGTGATAAATGAAGAAAGTGTGTCACCATAATCAGGTTTATGAAATTCAGCATCATTTAAACCATCTATCAAAATGATGTAGTCTTCCTCAGGAATTTTCCGCTCTGAAACATGAAAATAAAGAAGGAAAGGATGAATACAGGTTCTTCTATTAAGTGACATATTTTTATCCCCAAATTTTGAACATCAAGAAATAAAAACATACCTTTATGCACAGCAATACATCTTATATCATTTAAGCATTATTTAGGACGTTAAAAACAACATTAGAGATATAAAACGACATTGCCATAAAAAGATAAAAAGTGGAAGCAATCACAATAGTGTTTTTTACTGCACTATTACACAGACCTGTTTCACAACTGATTTAAAGAGAGTTAAATGATTAAACAAGGCTGTTAACATGTAAGAGATAAGAGATGCATGGATATGGGAAGAAGGCATATGTAGGTTAAGCTATCAGTTAACACTGCTTTTGATTATTAGCCATTACTTATCCCTTACTGGACTTACCAAACAAAAAAAAAAAAGTTTACAATTTGCAAAAATCTTAAAGGCACTGGTTTACACTTTCAGTTCTGAGGAGAAAAGGTTATTTTGCAACAGCTTGACAAACTAGCAATATTCATTTTGAGCACTTGTTAAGGATGAAAATCCCAGGGGTAAACCTATGACTTGCCAATGGATTTCACAGATATTTGTTGACAGTCAACAAAATTTGAGAACTGCAAAGCAGTTTTCATAGGAAAGACACATGCTCTGTTCACACACAGGCAAATCTCGTCCCCCATCTTGCCACGTATCAAGTACCTGCTCAAGCTGTCACATACTGTGAAGCTAGCTGTTTTCAAGGAGGATTTTGCTACAGTTTTTTTAAGTACGAAAATCATGTTGTTACACACTTTCTTGGAAAATTGCCATACCACATTTTAAAAGCAAGCAAAAAACACATCCACTTGCAGGTATTTAGGCACAGAAAATTAAAGAACAAAAAAGTGTGGCAAAACTCAAAAGCATCTGAAAACAAAATCCTTTAATGCAAATGTGCCAGCCTTGACTTCAAGCTACAAAGTTATCCTTGAGTTTTCTGGCAAAAAAATAAATGCCAAGTTCCCCGATCTTTAGTAAGTTTATAGAATTTTACTTTAAAACATGAAACAACTATTCAAAACCTATTACTGTTACAAACAACTACCACAATTAAGGAATCCCTTTCTCTACGAACGTTCCGATTTATTTATTTCTCTTAGAGCATTGAAATACATATTCTTCGGGGTTTTTTTTTTTTCACTTTTTATGCAGTTGAGATTCAGTTTCCAAGTCACTTCCTTTTTAACCTACCTTTCCTGAGGTTTGAAAGTGGTTCCAATACTCCCCTTTTAAAAGCTGCCGCTGGATCTTGGACACAGGATCTCAGGCTAAGCATGCTTTGTAAATGAGGTTCTTTTATCAGAAGATCTCTGTATGCTGCTAATTGATTTGAACGACACAGTAAAGCTGCAATACTGTGCACGAATTCTGGGACAAGACACGTGTATGTGTTGTCAGCTTGACAGTAGTGATAAGCAACGACCTGGAGAATTAAAAAAGAAAGAAAAAAAGTGTTACCCCTTCAATATTTAAGTTAGTAGTTAGTCCAATTATGATAAAGCGTCACTAAATTTCTCTTTCAACTACAAAATATTTTTCAGTGTTAGAATAATTATCCAACTCCGCAACTGGTCTCAGATGGCCTGTGCCAGAGACACAGAAAGGAAGACAATGAAATAAATTTTGACCTTGTAGGGCATACAAAGAGGAAAAGAAAGAAAAATGTCAGATTCTGGCAGGAAAACATAGTAATCTGAGTTCATGCCATTTGGATACAGTGGGTAAACAGCTAAGTAACTTAGTACAAGAAAAATAACTTGAGGCTCCAACTAAGCAACCTATTAGTTATAATTTAACAACACTGTGTCACACACTAATGACCCAAGGACTAATTTGATCATCCTCGGGCAAAAGTAAATGACTGACAGCTATTAAAGGCATCCTCATATAGCAAACAGAGAAAGAGGACAACTGGCTTTATTCTGATTATTGCAAAGGTGTGTATTACTTTAAAACATAACATAGGCCATACTTCTTTGGGAAACAAAGAAAGAAACAAACCAACCACAAGGAAAACATGGTGTTCACAGTAAATAAAAGGTTTTCAGCGCTTCAGCGGCTTTCATAACACTGTTTCCAAATAATACACATCACCTTAAAGACTGCAACAATAACCCCACGTTCTCCTCACAACTATTTGCATAAAGTATGCAATTCAGACACTAATTATTTTTACTACTTAGGCAAAAAAGAAAACACTTATCATAATAATCTAATGCAAAAAACAATTTCTTACTTCAGACTCTCAGAGTATGGACAACAGGCTAACCTGTATCAGAATATAGATGGATTATACACAGACCAAATGTCTTTTTTCCCCAGAATTTTGCTTTTGGAAGGCACACTGAGCATCTACCTGCAGAGAACATATGGCCCCTTTGGCAAGTAAAGGATCCCAACCTCCCATACACACGTAAAACAGATGGGAAATTTTTAACGTAACTTTTTCTAAGAATGAGCAGAATTCAAGTAGTAACTTGGAAGGTAGAGAAGGTAGGTAGGTGCTTTCAGCAGTCATGAAACATACACGTCTTTCAGAAGTGTCCAAGGTTACTGCCTGTTCTCCCACCACTGGGCGTGCCCAGGAGGCTTGGCAAAGCAGACGGTCTCCCCCCAGCTTAGAGGTTTTCTAGCATACTGAAAATCTATTAATAAGCGAAAACTCACCTTTGAAGCAAGGCGTCTCACAGAATCTCCTGTTTCGTTTTGGTATTCAGGAGTACCAGGACAACTCAGAGTCTTCACTGTATTGGTACCACTTGTTGGAGGAGCAGACAGGGATAACTGACTTAAGGGAATCTCCTGACAGGAGTCACCACCTATTTTTAAAAGACAACAAATATGAAAGAGACCAAACTTGCTGATAGCAGATTGCTTTATAGGAAAACATCACAGAGTATCTTTACTGCTAGACTAAAAATTAAAACTGAACAATAGCATTAAAAGAAGCCTGCAACTAGTCTGATAACTACAGGCACATAGTTGCAACTTTTCAATTTTAAAACAATTCAAATGACTTTTAGATCAAAACTATAGAATTATTGAAAGCAAAACCATGCCAACATGAAGAGTTTCCTTATGAAAATTATATGTGCGATGACTCAGTTAAACTAACAGTTATTATGTGACTGAACTCTTGGGAAAGATAAATGATTTATTATTACTAGTAATAATAATGTTATTATTATTAGCAGGGGAAGTAGCAGTTGCAACAGCCACACCATCCTTCCAGTTAACATAGGCACTGGATTGGTCAGGTGACAGAATCCTATGGATCCCAGTAGAAGATAGAATGGGTTTCTCCAGAGCTTTACTCTTGCCTCTACTGAAATTCTATGGAAAACGCGTGGTACTGAAAAGCATGCGGTACACAGCGGGGAAGAAACATGTCACTTCTCTCTTTCCAAACTAATGGGAGAACAACCTACTACAGTCACGCTACCAACAGAGTTTAGGGTACACACTGCCCAGCAGAAGGAAATGATTCTACATATTGCCTCCATTTTACCATCTCTTTGGATGGGCTGAGCCCACGCTATATTATGTGGAAGGTATTTGTCAAAGCATACAGTTTTAACAGTTGCTGTTCCTCACTGGAGAAAACAAGTATCTGCTGAGGAGTTGATGAGACCCAACCACCTTAAGCCGAAAAAGCACCCAACATTCAACTCTTGTTACCAGTACAATAACACAAACAATTACTCAGAAAAGGAACATACTTCTGGGGGATGAATTAGGGCTGTTTGAAGCTATTTGCCTCATGCGACTTCCATGGCAGCTAAGTGCCACCAGCCGTGAAATAACTGCAGTCTTCCCAAATCCCACATTTCCAGTAATGACCGCTCCCCTGTTCTCTGCTGGATCAGTATTCTTCAATTTTTCTTCAATCGCTTGGAACAGCCATTCTCTTCCAACAAACACGGAGTCTGTTGTTATGCTTGGCACTTCAAACAATAGCGGCTTCAGCAAAATGTCTTGAGGCTTATAGGGGATAAAACGAGCTGAGAAGAGGTAGTAGGGAGAAAAGTTTATTAGAAGAAACTCGACATGTAATAAACCAGAGTTGTTGCAGAAGATCATTTCATTCACCTTGTTAATAGCATAATAAGACTTCTTAGAGCTTTCATCATGAAAACAATAAAGACTGATCTGCTCAGTTCAGGTCACCTCCATAATTCCTATGTGAATTAAATTCTAGAGGACAGAAGCTACAAATATAATTTGAGGATTTTTTTTTACAATTGAACTTGAGTTAGTAAGTGCAGAATCCAAAAGTTTTCTTAAAAATTCATCAATAATTCTATAAATGGGAAAGTGCCAAACATTTTTCAGTTTAGAGTGAATTACAGTGCTGAGCATTATCAGTGTCAGGTCTTCAGATCTGTAAGGACATTTACAGAGAAAGAGAAAAAGGTACAGAGAATAAATAAATGTTTCTGTTTTCAAAAATCCCATATTTTTAAAGTAATGTAAAAAAAAAAAAAACATTACTGGCCTGTTTTTCCTGTACTTTTGCAGCCACAAGAACAGAAATTACACAGCACAACTGAAAGCATAGTCATGTTTGATTACTGAAATCTATACATTTGGCAAATACCTGACAAGACTTACAGAGAGAATAATTTGCATTTGGTTCCATAAAATACATTAAAATTTACAGAAATAACAATGTTCACTAATATAATGCTCTGAGGATTCATGAACCAAATCTAATGATACACAAATGCTGTTTCAGTGTTAATGTACGACTACGAAAAAACAAAAATGAAACAGGAGAGCATAGCACCTATGTATGATCTCAATATCCATTTTACTAGGAATTTGCTTTAATTTTTCTGCTTTTAATTGTTATTGGTTGTGACGCATTCGACTCCTTAACCAAGCTAGTGGTAGTTTGGTTCAAGCTCCAAAGAAGGTATAGGCCTAAGCTGTAACCAGGCCAAGAACTTCTCTAGTTCCAGTCTGTTCTCTGGAAACCCATAAAGGAGCAGAGTGACACAGTGAGCATCGATGCCTATGAGCTTGGGACACTGATCATGTGATTAACACATGAACAGCAGGTAGCTTTTTGAAGACTCATTCATCAAGGAACAAAGAAAGTTGTGGGTCTGAAGAGTCTCATGCATACCTTTTCTATTGCATGTACTTTGACTATAAGCCAACCACTATAAGCCTTTGACTATAAGCCTCCCTGCTAAGCAGCTGGCTGCATGGTGGTGATCACCCCTTGAGCTGGGATGCCCACATTGGATATTAGGAAAAACTTCTTAGAATCATAGAATCGTTTAGGTTGGAAAAGACCTTTAAGATCATCCAGTCCAACCATTAACCTACACTACCAAGTCTACTCTAAGCCAATCAAGGGCAGACCAGACTAAACCGTGTCCCCAAGTGCCACATCTACCTGGTTGGGTGGTCTATAGCAGACTCCCAGCAGGACACCTGCCTTGCTGGCCTTCCCCCTCATCCTTAACCATAAGCACTCGACCTTATCATCACCACTGTCGAGCTCTATACAGTCACAACACTCCCGAACATACAGAGCCCCCCCACTGCCTCTCCTTCCCTGCCTATCCCTTCTGAAGAGCTGATAGCCATCCAGTGCAGCACTCCAGTCAGGAGAGTCGTCCCACCACGTTTCTGTGATGGCGACTATGTCATAGCCATCCTGCTGCACAAGGGCTTCCAGCTCCTCCTGTTTGTTGCCCGTGCTACGTGCATTGGTGTAGATGCACTTGAGCTGGGCTATCCATTTCGCCCCCAATGCTGCCATGCCGCCCCTGGGCTCCTCACTAGCGGGCACCTTTATATCCCCTTCCCCCTTCAAGCCTAGTTTAACGCCCTCTCAATGAGTCCCGCCAACTCATGGGCGAGGATCCTTTTCCCCTTTGGAGACAGCTGATCTCCATCAGCCGCCAGCAGGCCCGCTGCCGTGTAAACTTCCCCATGATCAAGAAACCCAAAATTCCAGCGATGGCACCAGCCTCTGAGCCACCTGTTGATCAGCTGGGCTTTCCTGTTCCTTTCAGCACTCTTCCCTGCCACTTGACAGGATTGAGGAAAACACTACCTCTGCTCCTGATCCTT